GGAATGGGCAACCATGGATGGCGATGTTGTCAGCGCCTGAGGTGAGGAGGTGCTGATGGGAGCCAATCAGGAGAGGTTCGATCTTATTGACGTTCAACTGAAGAAAATTAGCTCTCATCCAGGACTTGATGTCCAACAGACACTGCTGTCAGGACAACAGTGGTCCTGGAGTCAAGGGTGGAGGCAGAGAGATAGACATTATTAAACATTATTAGAAAATAATAAAATCCTGTTACATTGCAGAGGGTTTTCGACAGACGGTAATGCTTTCAGGTTTTAGTGATTAACCTTTCAACAGCTTCAGCGTCCTTTTTGTATTGTAAAGACTAACAAGATTACATCATGCAAATGTATTCAGCGAATATAGGATATAAAGAGATGTTCTGTGACTTGTAAGCATGTCTCCTATAATACTGTAAATAGCCAGCATGAGCAATGTATAGATGATCAATTCATGATCATTTTATACTAAGTCCTGTAGCGTAGTGAGTAGAGCACTTGCTTCGGAAAAGAGAGGACCTGGGTTCAATTCCCGGTCAGGTCAGGGCTAAACCTTAGGCAAGTTTCCTTACTCTACACACACGCACGCCTCTGTCTACCTAGCAGTAAGTAGGAAGCCGCTTGTTAGTCGATTGGCGGATCTCTTTTCCGGGGGTAATAATCCCTTCAACAAAAAATTATCACTCAATCCACAACTGTATTTGGGACACTGCTTTGTGCAATTGGCTGCCGAGTTACATCCACAAAATATACAGTCAATTCACTTTACAGTATATCCTGTGAAGCGCTTTAAGACGTCTCAAAGATGTGATAAGGCGTTATATCAAATGCAGGGATTATTATACAATTAAATAATTTACTTTAGGATGTGTAGCATCAAAGACAATTGGTTATTATTGTTATTGCATTGTAACACGTATAAGCAATATACTTTCTGTCGGAAATTATACAAAGTATAAAGTATAATTTGGATTTGTCAGCTTTAATTTTGAGTGTATTTTACAAAAGGTACAAAATCCTTCATACTTATTGTCAAACTGTGTTAAATGAAAGGAAAATTATATAGAGAATAATAGATAACTAAGAGTGATTACAAGTCATTATTTTAATATTGAATTGAAATAAGATCATAAACTGCAAGAAAAGCATGAAACTTTTTGAATGCAGAATTAGATTACTGGCTTCAAAATCACTCCCAGATGTTTTAAATTTGATATATTCATTCTATATGATTTTTCAGCTTTTGGTCCAGTTTTACATTGCCTTTATGCTTGTTGCTGACTGGTTCTGCATTGTTCATTCTGAAAGATTAAGAAGAATATAGGAATCTTCAGGATTGGCAAGGTCCATTGTAATCCATGTGGCCCCCTCAATTTCTTTGCCAAATTGATATCTTATTTCTCTTAAAATGATGGTTTAATGATAGTTATATACTTCTGCAAACTTATTGAACAAACCCTAATCTAGATTTTATAATTAGGGCTATAGAATAAAACACCAAAGGGGTGATGAATAAATCGTTAGGTAGACTGCATTTTGCCCAGTTAGGGGTTATCAAATTTTAGGGAGGATATCAGGGCCATAAAGAGGAGATTTACTCAGATGATGCCAGGGATGAGTGGTTTGACCTATGAACGGAGATTGGAGGAATTGCATCTATTTTCACAGAGAAGATGAGGGAGTTCTGACAGAGGTCTTTAAAATTATGAGGCAGTCTTTGAGTTTTTCACTTGGGGGTTGAATATGTGTCTGATTTGTTTCACAGAACAAATTATTGGCTAAACCTAGATTTGTGCACTAATCCCACAAACTGAGCTTCATAACACTGTCTTGTCATTTGTCCAGCAGGCAATGTAGTGGTTGTATGCAATAGGCAAATGTATTTACTGCCACTAATCTTCAAGTTTACTGCTGCAAGCGACTTTAAATCGTATTTCATCGCTTTCAACGGGAAAGCGATTTGGAGCAGAAAATAGTATTTATATTTCACACTCCAAAATTCCTCATTGGGGCTGTGGAGAGCTTTTTGCAGCTCAGAGAAGCCCATACAAAGAGTTTCATGTGATTTAGCCTTTTCATATTAATACAAGACCTGGAGTGTTACTGGCTCTTTAAAATATTGAAGACATAACTTTTCAAGGGCTATTTTAAATCAATTCACACGGACTGCACCAACTATACTGAAGCAATGTGAATTGTCACCAAGAAAACAACTTGCATTGCAGAGTGCATATGAAGTAGCTTTAACATGCGGTCTCCAACATAATTCACTTCCAGAAGGTGAACTGGAAACTTGATTTATACTACATTTTTAAACATCAATTTGGCCCCATTTTCACATCAAAAGTGCAGTATAAATAGGGCATAAGTGACAGTCGTGCTGCCTTTTACCATGGCAGACCTTGAGTTTGGTGCTTAGTTCAGCATCTGTTCATGAGAACTGACCCAGATCACATGGCTAAGGCCCAGTTTTGTTCTGTCTCATTTGATTATACCGTGTGTATTGTCACTAACCAAGCTGGGCATGTCAATCACCACTGCAGCTTACAGATAGTTGACCTTCAGCTTGTGGGCTGTATTATATGCCAAACAGCTGAGTTGAGTGAGAAAGGTGTTTAAAGGACCTAGAAGAGTTAATATATGAATGGGGAGATTTACAAAACGATCGCAAAAACACTTAGTCTTGGTCCTAAGTAGCCATTGTGCTGATATGAATCTCAATTTTACCAGTTAGATGCCAGGATTTTATGACAACCGGTCATCCTTTAAAGAAGTGAGGCTGTTCAATTATTAAAATCAGTATTGTCACAGTTTGACAGTTCAGTGGTTGAAGACTGCAGGAGCATCATTTAAAAAAAAATGTTTTGAGATTCAACCACGCTGCTGAACACAACCAAGGCTGCCATTTTGTAAGCAGTGCTACAGAAGCCATCTTATTGAGATGCTGCTATTTCCTGCCACCAGCATCTTGAATATAAACTTTACAGACAGAAAAATCAGTGCACATATATCATCATTAGGTAAGCTACTAATCTGATGTCTGATATTTACTAGAGCCTCCACATGTTAAGATGCACTATTATTTTCTAAAATAAGAATGATTGTTGTTTTAAGACCAATGTTCATTTTGTTGTATTGCTGGTGCAGCTGCAAGTTTAAAATAAAAATCATCTTAATTTCTAATGTGGCAGGAGTAGCCTCCAATATACAACTTAATGCACAGACTTTTTTTAAATCATCCTTATAAACGCACAACTTGCTTGCCAATAAATGTTCTGCTTGGATCACAATCATGCTTGGATCAGGATTTCTGTAAACCGCAGATAAAAATAGCCAATTTGCTAATCTTTGTTCCACAGCCCATTAAATCATTCATTCATTCAGCAATTCACCATAAACAAAACAGAAAATAGTTTACAAAAACCTTTGTTTTCCACAAAAGTGATTAGACTTTGAAAATATTCTTTACACTCGGTCTAGGTGAAACTTGGCATTGGATAGACTTGGATTTATGTGCAGAGCATTAAAACCAGACAACTGGATGACATTTTTTGCTTGGATGATATGGATGCTATATCTCAGTTATTCCTGAATCAGGAATTCTGTACACTAGATGAATGTGGTGTAGTACTTGGCATTGTGTTTTGTTGGAGTGCTGCTTGGATGAGGAATTTGTGTATCTTCCAATTTGATGGTATCAAAAACGACTCTGCTCATTTTTCGATTACCACGTGGTTGTAACCCTACAGCACTGTAGGAGAGTTTACTCGCCTGTCATTTTTCAGAATCTAGGATACTGGGGTCTAGATTCTGAAAATTTGCTGGAATATTATATTTAAAAAATCCTTGCATTTGATGTAGCGTTTTTCACGTATTCTAGATGTCTCAAAGCGCTTCATAGAATCTACTGTAAAGTGAATTTACTATATATTTGTGGACAAAACACGGCAGCCAGTGTCCCACAAAGAGTCGTGAATTGAAATGAACAATTTATTATTTTTTTGTTTTGTCTTTTCTTGAGGGATTATTATCAGGCATGTCGAGTAAGGAAACTTGCCCAAGGTTTTGCCCTGCTGGGAATCTAACCCAGGTCTCTCGCTTGCGAGGCGTGTGCTCAACCATTGAGCAACAGAACTCCACCTTGAATTACCCTTTGAAAAACTTGTCCATTGTCATAATGCAAAGTGAAGCAGGAAATCAGCAGAAGAATTTTAAATAGAGTTAGCTATTAAATATCAGAACAAGTAGAAAATAGTAGAAATTAAAATCTAGAAGGACAGAGAAAGAATAGAAAAATAAGACGTAATGGGGAACACGAGTGACATTTTTATGTTAAATTGTGTTTTCAAAATGATTTCAGTTTATGCCCTGGTATTTAAAAAGTTTTACTGCTGTAATATTAGTCTTTTTCAGTATGGGAGTTGAGAAATTGCAAAACCAATTGTCCCATGGAGCCAGTTTATATTTATCTGCTGGCAATCTAAAGCTTAAATGATAAAATGTCAGGAAACTGAGCTCCTCCATTTTGGAGACTCTAAACTGGCCTGGTGGAGTTTCTCTGTCTTTCAAAGTGATAGAGGCCGGTCCAGCTTTCCAAACTGACACAACTAACGTGCTTCAAATCAGCTTCTCGGCAACATGTTACTTGCTTTGGATTGTGATTGTCTGACTGCTAAAGTAACCTTAATTGTTATTGCAAGTGGAAAGCAAAATGTACATTTTGAGATTTTTGTTTATAAATTGATTACTGCCGAGAATAACTGGTTTGGATGGCTAACACCTAAGTATTCAAAATATATATTTTTTAAATGTTTTCAGCTACAGCTAAAAAAGCAACAATCTTTTAATATTGGGCCTCTTGCTTACATCTGGTTTGTTTTACACGTTGAAAGCACGAATGATAAAATGTATTTGAGTTTGAGATGTGTTTTTCCACTAAATAATCTAATATGAAAGTGCATGCAAACACTAACTTGTTCTTTTTTCTGTCTCCTTGCCAGGTACAGAACGCCATGAGCTCACTTCCTGGAAGAGTTTTAATTCTATTTTCAAGTATTTTACTCAAGCTTTAGAAGCACAGAACACTGAAGTAAAACCCAAGTTTACTGTGACTACGAGAAGCTCCAACCGAAAGAAAACTGAAGAGTTATGAAGAGAAAATGCCTTTTTACTGCTTTTTTGCGCTGGCAGTCCCCCAGTCTTTTATTAGATTGTTTTCTTCTTGGAGCAAAGGGTCATGGTGTATACATCTAAATAGCGTTTTGCATTATTTCTAGATGAGCGCAACTGTCAAAGCAATATGGGACTGCCGGTTGTGCTTCCTGTGGTCCCAAACTCAGATTTTGTGCCACCGATCGGTGCACAGATTAAGAGTGACAGCAGTTCTGCACAGTGCAGCACAGAGCGGCTCTAATTGCCCTGACACAGCCCTGTACTGAGCTAATGCCATGGGGCTATCGGCTTCCCCCATGCCCTAATGCCTGCCAATTTTTCTTCATTAAAGAGACAACATCTCTTTTGTTGGCCTGTGTAGACTAGATTTTAAAATAACCAGGAATCAAAGCCACTCAACATTTTCCCTTCACGTATCCAAGCCTTGTCATAATGTTCAAGGGACATCAAACGCACGTAAGTCGCTAAAGATGACAGTCGTATTGGAGATGCCAGCTGTCATTTCTGTGTCTGCTTAAAAAAATGCTTTGCACTATTGAAACTGCTTGTTTGTTTTTCAAAGAAATCAACAGTACTTCTTAACGCTACAAGATGTTTAAAGATTTGTTGAGCAGATATGAATTTTGATTCATTGTAAATTTTAACCTATGGTTGGCCAATATGATCTGTATGCTGTCTCTTTTTTAAAAAAAAAGCTTATCATTCAATATCCACATCAGGATTTGTGTGCCTATTATATGATTTGATTAATGTATATTAATTTGTGTTTTTATTGTTGCTTGTGAACGACTACCTACATTTTGAAACCCAAATTGAAAAGTTGACATATAAATAAAGGAGTTACAGTAGTGCGGACTGCACTGTTTCTCTGAGCACTCAAAACAATAAGTTGAATCACCAGTACATCAACCTGTTGTTGATGGAACTCGTACAATAAACTTAGTTCTTAATTATCTACAGAATTGTGGAGTCCAAACAGAGTGCCACCATCACTTAAACGCTAAGATTAACAGTTGCTGAGCACTTCATTTTACAAGTTGGACTTTTAAACTCCTTCAGTGCAGAACCTAGAGTGGATTTCTTAAACCCCTGTAGACTGTATGTTGCATCTTTTTGTTCTGAATAAAAGTTTTATTTAATTTCTATTTGAAATCATTTCAGAGCAGTGGAATAGAACCAAGAGAGGCTTTTAGAGACCAAAATCTTGTAAGGATGATGAACATACTTTGTAAATAGTTAAAAGTCCACCTGGAAGGAAACAAGAAGGTGTTGCATGTTAATTTCCAATTACATCCCTAAAAGTATGTTCTAGAACTTGCTCCCCCAAATCCTTAGAGTGTCTACTCATTACCCTGTTTAATCATTTGTAAATTGCTGCTGTCTGTAATGCTTTGAAAAATAATCTAATACAAGACAAAGTGTAGATCTTTGAGAATATTCCAATTTGTGCTGCGCAATACATAGGCACAAGTCAGGAGAGCACTAAAATGTTAGATGAGAATTAAAATGCATGCCTTTGATTAAATACTTAGCAATAATAAGTTGGGAACTCGAAATTGGTGCATAGTAGAGTGTGAGGTAATTATTTCAAGTGATTTGTTCAAGTTTATAGTGGTTCTAATGTGCTGAATGGCTGGAGCGCTCTAGCAGGCTATGTGAATAGGCAAAATGACCCAGGGGAAACCTTCAATACCACCTTCAGCGCATGTGCAGCTCACTCCCACAGAGGCAGGATAGAAGCTTTGGAGCTGGAGCTTTGATTGGAGTTTAAAGTCATTTGACATTTCCAGCACTTTCTGCCAAATGACACTGGTCTCTGCAGAACATACGGCCGATCCTTCTGTTCTTTGGGTGTGCAAAGAGTTTAAAGTGTGAAAACTGTAAAATGAACCCAGCTAACCCCAAACCAAGGCGTTTCATTGATGGTGTTGATTTTATCCATTAATCTCCAGAAGAATTAAAATATGTTCTCTTGGAACGCTTAAATAACTGATTATTTTAGACAAATAATTGCAAATATGCCTGATGAGACGCTTGTAAATTTAAATTACAGTAATTTTATTCATTAAGGTAGAAGGAGCGCGAAAGGAAATGGGCATCAATAAAATAGCCTTCTGTCACTTCTTTTAATACTTCTTTTTTTAAGCATTGGACAGTGTTATAATTACATTTAAACAATCCTCTACATTGTGAATTCATTTTTTATTGAACTCTAAATGTTGTAAATGTATTTGTAATCACAACTGTGACTAGCCGGATTTTGAAATATTATAGGATTACAGAAGCTACTTTTTAAAACTATCATAAAGGAAAGAAATCTACTCAACATGGTGTAGGCTGAGAATGAGTGACAGGACTATGTGAATAGAAGATTTCCATGCAATTGTGAACTATGGTGACAGAGGGAAAACTGCAGGAAAATTAATTTTCATACCAAATACCTTGAAGAAGAGCTATGATTTTTATTTGTGATAGTTTTGAAATCCATTATATGAAACTGAAGCATTGAAATGAAAAGCTGTGTTTTGCAGTGCCTAGGTGAAGTCTGCCTTTTACCAGGATGTATTGATGACCTCTGATTTTAAAACATTTTTGCTTTCTATTGACACAATGTTAAAAAGGCTGAATTGAAATAAAGTTGTTTTTCTTAGTCACTTTGTCGTCCAACTGTGTTTATTTATCAATCATTTTTGATCAAAAAACTGCATGACATGTTGACATGAAACATTGGCCAATTTGTGATAAATAAAATCATAGGGAACTCAAAAGAAGAGAGAACAGCATGTGAGCTTAACAGAATTACTGACTGATCGGATCAGATTCCCAGTGAATAACTGGTTTTATCTTTTTACACCTTAGAAAATGGCTTTTAGCCAAAAGTCTCTTGGAATCTGAATTTAATTAAACAAAAGACCACAATTTTTTAAAATTAATTTTAAACTAGATTTTTAATTTTCCAATTGTCAAAATTATTAAGTTAGTTTCAGACAAGAAGATTTTTCCACAGTTAATAAATTGATTGAATCTAGGTGTTGCAAGTCTATTTGAACTGTTCAGGTTATTAAATTACTTTCTCAGCTTGAAACAGAAAGTTGCTTGTGTTCAATAGGGAGTACAGATATAGGATACCAATATTCAGAAAGAGTTCGATCCCTCTTTGAAACTATTCTTTCTCAATATGATCTCAAATCAGTGATTGTTAAAGAGATTGGAAGATATACTATATTTTTAAAAGGACAACGGTCGGATTGCTTGCTTAGAGCAGACCTATCGCTTGGCTAACTCCAGACAGAGTGAAATTTAGTCCAGAGCATGGAAAGCGGAAAAGTGAGATCACCTGAACATTCAGATATCCGGACTGAAAATGAAAACGGCTTGGCACTTTCAGACAGTGTTATCAGTTGGGATTATTGAAACGAAAGTTCATTTAACTCAATTATTTCTTAACCTCAGTGCTGGGATTGCTTTCAAACCCAGTAATCCCTCTTGGTTGTTTGGTGCAACTGGGAACAAAGCCTCTGAGTCCTTTCTTCCTTTTACCCTGGTAAGACATCTGGGAAAAGAGAAAAAAATACTATTTGGGTTCAAAGTATAATTTACAGGAAAGGACACATTCCCTTAATTTGTATGGAATGTAAAATTTGCCTCCATTTGAAATTGAACCGACATTCATTTTTACTTGCAGACGGTTTTGATAGTAGTTTTGTATTAACAATTGAAAACTCATGTCTTTGAAGAAATAAAATGTGATCTGCAGAGCCGTCTCCTTAACGTAGTAATGAAAGCACTTCATCTAATGCAATACTATGAAACGCTTCTTTGCTTTTTAGAAATTCATTGATCAAGTTTTAATGAAAGGGTTCCCTGGCTCTGATTTGAAACATAGGGCAAAATTCAAAATGTGTTACTTTCTGGTAATTTGCAGACAAGTACAATGAAGCCTTACAGGCATTTAATTTTGATTTTGGAAATTTTGCATTGCTCACTCTTCCCTCATCATTTCTCACCTGTCCAGATGGGTCTGGCAGAGCAAACCAGACCTCTCACTTTTCTGTGTTTAAAACACCCTACCACATCTGGATTTAGGTTATGGCATCCCAAACATTTGCACATCGATAGACAAAATTTCAAAAGTTAACATCAAAAGGATAGTTATTGAATGAATCTCCCAAATACTTGACAATCTGTGCTGAAAGATCGAAAAGCATTTTGGGCAGACAAACTTTTATGTGGTCTGAAAATTAATATGTGACATTATGACAAGATACATTTTCGTCTCTAATTAAAAAAAGGCAATCTATTTGGAGCAGCTATAAGTATTTCCCAATTATTTCAATCGTAATATGTAAATGAACTAAAATTATTGTCTTACTTTCCTTTTCATATGCCATAATATGAAGTAAAGAATTTCTTGCGAAGATGTTTTATCTGTCACCTACCTACACTTGATTCACATACATTTCTATATCAGTATGACATACTTAAGTATGTAAACCTTTAGTCTATATCTGTATAACCCATAGCCCTATAGCAATTTGACAGCTGTCACATACCTATGTTGTAACCTGTACAGCTGGGACATATTTAAAATACGTATGACATAACGTATGGATTTATCATACATGTACAAATGTTCTATTTCTAAAAAAAAGTTTTCCAGTAAATTGTTGTGAACATTGTGTTTCAATCTTGTAATTACAGTAATAATTTTATTTTTTCCTGTCATATGCACAAAGAAACAAAAAATGTCTATTGATCATATTGGTGGCAAGCAGCAGTTGAACAACTCATGCTAAGAATTGACAATATGAACAGGTAAAAATAAAAAACTACAGATTATAAAGGAGCATCATAATAAATTATTTCTAAATAATATTTTAAAACCCTTCTGTTTCTCTTCCATGGATTTCTATTGCATTGTATATGATTATCAGTTTAAGATAAAAACAAATCCAGGAAATATCAAAAACTATGATATCGAAAAAATTCTTCTTTAAACGTGAATACTTCAGAGTCACTAAGACACAGGATTATTTATATGCACTGAAGAAGAAACATAATGACATGAAACTTATATCTAGGATTTTCCAGGTGCAGGGCATAGCCAAAAATTTGGTAATACCACAACTGATATCTTACAAGCACAAATAATCAACATCAATAACAGTGAACTGAAGTGACTTTTCAGAGGGTACATATTAGGGTTCAGTTGTTCATAAACCTCTCTGATGCTTTAAATGATTGCGTTATAAAATTACACTCATTCCTGCTAACTATTTCTCCATACCTGTCAATATGATAGAATCCATAAGTCTGTATCATTATGGCATTGCTTGCTGGAAGTGCTCAAAATGCATGTAAAAGAATTTGCAGGTACTGTGTAATATTAAAGAATGTAAAGTGACAATATTTGAATGCACCACCTCTACTAAAATAATAAAGATTATCAGTGTGTGGTAATGCTTGACTTTTGGAGAGAAACTAACGGTAAAAGTTGTAGGCATGAGCATCCAAATGACTTGGAAGTTAATAAACAACAAACTACAGCAAATTGCAAAACTGGTTCTGTCTGTGGGGCGACACTGATAAACCACCGTTAATAAACAGTGAGAATAGATTAAAACGTACCAAAATGTGCTTAATGTAAATCTGATTGATTGACAGGCAGGACTGAGCAAACAATACAAGTTCAGGCAGATATTCTTATAGCAATTATATCATGTGCCTAAATGCCATTAACAGTGGTGATTTGAACATATATTTTTATAGGTGAAATGCTTCACTTTTTAGTTTCAACCTTTTTTTTGGTGCTCGCATTCTTCGTGTTTGTGAGTTTATTCACTAGATCAGTGACAGCTCTTTATTTGCATAATTATATGCTATAGTCTGAAGTGAAAACTAACCTCTAAATTTCATGGGTCAGCAAGCTGCAACAATCAATGTTTTATCACGTAACCTAAGGAAAATCTAAGAAGCTATATAAAGTTTCTCGGGATTTGTTTTTCTCTCTTCTTGGAGAGAGAGAGAAAAAAAATCAGAATGGTTGCGCTTCTTCAAGAGATGTAGAAACCTTTCCATTGCATCCTAGTGACTGAAATATATTAGGCGAGTAATAATAGAGATTAAAATGTACGTGGGGATTTCAGTCTTTCTACTTTTACTTCAAAGTATTTCAGAGGAGAGCGATGCACAACATAACAGTTTAGCAGAAGCAATCAGTTACATGGACTATTTCCTACAAATTGATTCCAATGAGTGATTTTACATTGCAAATGAATTTTAGAATGAAATGTGATCGACAGATATTTCCTGCAGTATATACTATTATATATATATGTGTTCTTACACTAAAATCCTGTATATTGAGAACAAATTAACTTTAACAGTATATTCGATCATCTTACAAGATTTGAAATTTGTAGGGATCTACGGAAGCATTCACTAAGATAATTTTGATTATGTTTGCATTTTAAATAAAGGTTTACCTTTGCACAATCGTGCACAGCGATTTATTCACTACATTTAATCCTCGTAATAGAAAAAAAAACTGAAAATATTATGTTTCAGAATTCTGTCTTGTCCATGTGAAGGTGGGAGTAAAAAAATATCAAACTAATTGTTTCACATATAAAAAGCACATTTTCCTCACAACTGTCGATGCTTGTTCCAATGTCCTACATTTGCTCGCCTCCAATCCAGACACATAGACAAAATATCCAGTTGTCGCATTTTAAAATAAAATTCGTCCGATGAAAGCAGCATTGCAGTTGAATTTCAACTAAGATAAAAATAATAATATTTCTAATATGTAGATGAAACTGGCCGAATCTCCCCTCCCCCATCTCTGGATCATCATCACCATATATGAAAAATCTGGTTTAAAACCTTTTTTTTTAACCAAGCGTTAGATTTCATTTTATTTTAAATCAGAAAAAATAGCAATGTATTACTACAGAGTAATCTATGGGTGTTTATATTCTAAATATTGTATTTCATTATTTTTGAATGAAAACCATTTCTTTTGTCCACATCAGTGCAGCTCTGTACCTCTCTCTCTCTCTCTCACACACACACACACACACACGTACACATAAGCACACTTTACAGGTGTCCTTGAACATCTTATTTTTTCTGATTCATGTCAAATTTGATTTTTATCTGTGGTAAAACTGTACTGCAGTTTTTTTTGGGTTACATCGCAGAATAAAGCATGAGTTTTCAACGTGTTTAAAATTGATCAGAAACCCACTGTCCAGTTTCCCGTGTTGGGAAAACTAATCAACTTATTCCTCTGTGACATAAAAAGGATATTTGATCATTAGATGTTCACAAGTCATTGACATTTCCGCAGAACCCTTATTATGTATTTTTAGACCTACAGGTAGGATACGGGTTGTACAGGAAAATGATCACCAAATATCCCTGAACCATCACATTTATGCGCCTTGTTTAAGAAATATTACAATTGCTTAACTGATTTTAAAGGCCTATTTTCCCCTCAATCGCTCGTAGACAGAACAAATGCATTTTAATATTTGGGTATTGGTATCATCTCACAGTGTGATGTCAATAAGCAAGTAGGCACTCCAACTACTTGGGGGCGCAGTAGGGAACTGTGCAATGTTGGACAGAAGTTTATCTTCATATAATTATG